TAGGTTATTAATGTTATGGGCCAGGGTCACCTGGCAAAATTCCATGGCGGAGTGAGTATTCAGACTTTCTTGTCCTAAGCCCTAGTCCAACCCTCTAACCACTACACCAGGCCAGCACGTTTATCAACATATCCTTCCTTTGTGTGATAGTATGGTGCGAACCATTGTTCCCTCTAAGCTGAGTTAGTGTGAGCTAGCTCACAGTTTTTTAGCCTCTAGCTCACACATTTTTGTCTTCTTCTTTTTTTAGCCCCCGGAGGGGATTTATTATTTTTTTTAACACTACAAAAACTACAACAGAAGAAAAGGGAGGGGAAACTACATATATGGGATAAAGTAAAGAACCCACTACTAACTAAAAGCCCAAGAGAGGAGATCGTCCAACTAGCTTAGTTACATCAAGTCTTCCCATCATTGATCCCTTTATAAACTGAGTCAAACATTTATAACACTTTTCCTTTAAAGCTTAAATTTAACTGTCTAGAAACAGTACCCCCGATCATCCCATAACAAAAGTCTCAAAGGCACAATTCAGAGTCCTTCAGCCTTTACTTCCCCTTTCCCTTTCTCTTCCGCAGCTTGTAAGGACTTTTTGGGGCTGCTGCCCCTTGCTCTGACAGAGAGTCCTCTCCGGAAGAGCCAGAGTCTAGCTCGCCACTGGACTTGCTGTCCTCTTCTTTTTTCCCGTCCTCTGGCCTTCCCAGCTGAACCCTTAGAAACTCTTGAGCTTTCTGAACAAAGAATCTTTTCTTTTTTTTCTTTAATCTTAAAATGGCCTTCTCCCTTCCTCTGGCCTGGAAATAGCCATTTATATCCAATTGAGTTTGTCTGAAGAAAAAGCACAAGTTCTTTACATTTCTTTCTCCGTTGTCTTACTTCAAATGGAATATCCTTTAGCATTCTGATGGTATTTCCCCCCGCTTTCAGGGGTGTTCCAGCAACCGCTTTCAGGATTGCATCCCTCACATGTCTCTTCGAGAATCTTACAACAATTTCCCCAGGCAGATTATTTTTCTTTATGTAGCCTGAATATGATTTATAGACCACATCCATGTCGTTAAGCAGCGATTCCGTCTTCATTTCTGTCACTGGGGCTAGCAATTCACTCATCACTTCTTTAAGATTCTCCCCTCTGTTCTCTGGCATGCCCTGGA